TATTTTAATCTCGTGGCCGGAGGAGCATGAATGTGTACCCGTGTGGCTCGTGCTTTTATCAAACATCGGTGTTCATGACTAGATGAAGCTGGAAGCTGACCGTGCAGTGTGGCGGCACAGCTGCTGATTCCAGCATGTTGTGTTTCATGCTGTCAGCAGCTGTAAGTAGCAATGACAACAGAAAGTCTGACTTTGCTGTGCAGACTCTCCACCTAACTGTTACCTGGTGCTATATACATAAAGTAGTGATGGCAAACAGCATCTGCACATCTGTTGAAGGTGATCACTCTATTTAGAAGAGTGGACTTTATCCCATCCATTAAATATTGGTTGATAAAGTTTAGGGACCTGGTTTGCAATCACAGCACTTTCTTTAGTCTAACATCAGAACATCGGTCATTAATGGGACTCTAAATGTGCCAAATTCATGTTTGAATGTATTATTAACATAATGAACATTAGTAAATCCTCCACACAGAGAGTGTGTGCTACATGTGGCACAGTAACAGTACCTTAGTTATGTCTCAAATCCCAGAACGTCGTCTGTGTTTGTGTGGATGCTGCGCTTTGTTTGGGAGAAACGTTTCCCATCCCGGTCAGGCTGCAGCTCTCCCACCGTGCACACAGTACAGCCGACACGAGCACCACTAGCTCCGTTTCATAAACATTAATATGCAAATTGTCATGAACATTGATCGCTGACCTCGAGTGCGATTCACAGAGTTGGGACCGGCAGCGTTCACAGCGCTCGTCTCGTGGATGGCCCGGAGCGTTCCTCAGGCCTGTTGGGATAATCGCGTTGAGCTCTTTGTCCTTTTCTGGAAAAGTGGACATAGAAGGCACGTTGTAGCGGGACAGTGGGTTTCATCTTATTTTAGCTGATATGAAGAAGACGCGTGTCCTGGTTTGATGGGAGGAGCTGCGAGGGGCGGGCTGCTGCAGGAAGGCTAGGATGCCACAGCTGTGCAGCGGCGTCCATGTTGCTGCACGATTACAAAAGCTATAACAAACTGAGTAATGTTATTGTAAGAAAATTCCAGACTCTTCCGTTGAAGCACTTTAAAGGTTCCCCTTTGTTAAAAGGGCAAACTGGAGCCGTAGGTTGATTCTCTCTGTATCAACGTGGCAGTGTCGTGGACGAGCGGCCTCCTCAGACCTGTGCAGTGACTCTGAAGTGTTGGCACTTTGTTGACGCACATCTCGTTGCCCAAGCTCGCACCTTCTCGTTGTGCTGACTACATTTATGTGTGTGCACTCCACATTCACATTGAATTGATGGAAATGTAATAAGCTGTTGTGAAGAGAGTTCGCCTCATGGTTTGTTTCCCAGAGATTACATTTGGATTATTGTTATTATTATGTTTGGATGCAGAGCCTGACTGGAGAAGCTTCCAGGTCCAGGCCTGAAGACGAATCTGTTAATGTCAGACATTCATTGTCCACATTTCAACACATCACAGGACTGTAAAAAGATGTAAAGTGAAACATATATATCAGTCGTGTTAGTGTGTGTTGGTGTCTGGGTGTAATCGGCTGTAGCAACTAAAACAAATACTTCGAGTATTCTTTCATGACATGTTTCAGTGTTGATGTCATTAAATATGTAGGAGGTTTGCAGTGAACCTCACTATGCTGTGCTCATCATTTCTGCTGTGTGCTGTCACTTCGTCACTTGTATGTTCCAGAGCTGTCACTTCAGAGGTGGTGACACTGACTTGACCCGAACCACTGTTTACCTGCACATCCTGTCTGTGGAGACTAGGGATGGGTACCGGTATCCGGTGCCATGATGGCACTGGTTCTGTCATAAACGGTAGTAACCAGACCGTAAAGCAGCACACATTTCGGTGCTTTTTTTCCCTGAGATGTCACACACTTTGGATTCTAGCCAATCATTTTACGTTTCCGAGGATAGTAGGCGGGTCCAGGTACGTACGTTGTTTTAGAGCAGAGCTACAGATTAAAAATGCCCAAGGCGAAGCGGTCAAAGTCTGGCTGTACTTCACAGCAAAAGATGCAAACTCAGCAGCTGCAACAAGTGCTTTAAGCTGATACTGTGATACTGTCAAAGGAGGTAACACCTCAAATCTGATGAAACACCTGGCGACGCATAGCGTTTTTTTAAAAGCCGAGAAATGCGCCGTATTTGATAGCTTGCTGCGAGACCTCACACCGAGCACATCTACTGCGGGTGTGGTGCCTGTTATCGGCCCGGAGTTAGCAACATCCCCCAAAAACCCGAAGAGGAGAGTCCTGGCCCCTAGCCCTGCCAGTGTAGCAGAAATGATGAGGATGATGATGCAGCAGCAGCCGTTCTTCTCTGCGTGAGTAGCTTAATGTTGTTCGTGTGTAATTTACGTTGAGTAGGCTAACCACGTTATTACATTAATGCATGTAAGGTGAACTAGCAAACACCATCATAGCTACATGCAGCTGTCTTCTTGTTTGATGGCAGATACTCCCTTCACCCTGGACAAAAAGGCTAAAATGACCAAAGAAAAAGTGGAAAACAGTTAAACATGAGAGGTTTTTGGACAAAGTTTGTGTTTTTTCCATTGTTTAAGCTGCTTCCAGCCAAGAGTGATACCATATATGCCCCATAGCTGCAGGAAAGGCTAACATTGTTATCTTTTTACAAAAAAACAGCTGAACATGGGAGGTTTTTGGACAAAGTTTGTGTTCTCCATTCTTTAAGCACCGGCACCGTTTCAAAAGTACCGGTTTGGTACTGGTATCGGATAAAACCTAAACGATACCCATCCCTAGTGGAGACATTCAGTTTTCTGTACGAGACGACAGCAGTCAGATCTTTGTGTGTCTCAGTGTTCCACAGTTGTAATTATTACATTTGCATACACACCAAGTTATCATTATTTTTATAATTTAATAGATAAAAACATGACAGCAGAAGGTGTTGTGCTTAGCAGTAGGTGTGGCTGTGGCTCAGGAGGCAGAGATCTCTAACAGGAAGGTTGGTGGTTTGATTCCTTGGGCAAGAAATTGAACCCCGACTTGCTGCTGTATCTTTATGGCGTGGCTGGACAAGTTGTTTTTAAAACTATCAGCACAGCCAGATGAAATGAACTTGTGTCATACACTCATAACTGAGATTATAAAAGATATTGTTCAGCCACAGTCTGTTTCTCTGTTATTTTAGCCGCTGGTACAGAATTAGACAAGTTCAGAGTCGTAGCTAAATCAGGTGATCTGGTGACAAACATACATCTGAACAATCTCAACTCGGATTTCCAATTCAGAAAGTTGGAGCTTTAGTGCCACCGAGCTACGAGCAGCCTTACCTCCTCCGGAACAGAGGGGGGCGCTGTTACGGCAAACTGGCTGTGAGCCGCCTCACACAGGAGACGCACTTCAGCGGTGAGAGGTGCTAGTGTTTACCTGCTAGCTGTGCTGCAATGGTGTGAACGACCTCCAGTAGTTTCTTAGTCCTACTCGAGCAGTGAAAGAGCAAAGATAGCGCAGGCAGCCAGCGGCTAACAGCCATGTCCGACCGCCTGGCCTTCCAGACCCAGCTGGCCTCCATCATGGAGGTCCTAGCTAACGCAGCGGTGGCGGAAATCTGCAAGCTGGTGGACGACGACTACGCGGTGGTGAGGTTGCAGATGTCTCAGTGCCAGAGAGAGAACAAGGCCCTGAAGAGGAAACTACACCTGCTGGAGCTGAAGATGGCCCGGGGAAATGCCGAGAGGAGGCTCCGGGAGAGTGCCCTGAACAGCAGCCGGCCGAGGGTGCAGATAAACGGCAGCGACAGGCTCCGAGAGCCCTCCACCCCCGCCGGTACGGTCAGCACGAATAATGCGAGCAGTAAGAGTCCAGTCTGAAACCACGTCAGGCTTTCTGCACTCACACGTTTATGTCATTATGTTGTAAACAGTCTGGACCCTGGATAGAGCCGGGCTACAGTGTGCTCGTGTTTCCGGTGTGCAGGGAGGACACACAGTGCAGACATGAGCGTCTCTGTTCATTCATGCAAGCTGTCAGAAATCTCTTCATCGAGACTCATTCCACTGTTTTTAAATGAACATCTCCGCCCATCAGCTGTTATATTGGTACATTACAGAGCACACGTACCGTCCTACATTATCTGGATTTAAATATAATCTTCTTTTCTGATTGGCTGTTTTCAGCTTGTTTGTACCCTGTGACAATGAGCCTCCCATTCTTGGCTCATGTTTGTCACCGTGTGCTGTTATTTCAGACACACGTCACAGGGCTCTAGACTAACGTTTCCCACGTTGCACTGGTGCGACTAACGTTTTTTCTTAGGTGCACCCAGATTTTTCAACTGCATCACTTAACTTAAGTTTTACATGTTGACTTAGTCCATACAGACAATATTGATTTGTAAATGATTAACGAACAATCTCGTCAACACAAAGTTCTTTATTTGGAGCTCAGCTCTCCAAGAAACACAAGTTACTGACAAAGTGCTTGAAGCTTTACTGAGCTGAAATTTAACCTTAAAACATCTCAAGACATTCAATGAAAAGAAACTCTAAAAGGACCTCAAAGTGTCTCACTGGCTTCAAACTGAACATCTCAGTATCGGCACAGCTCGATATCTTATATCCTCCATTGCAGTTACATGGCCCTCAGATGGCCAACTCCTGTAATTTGGCCTTTTTCTTCTTTTCATCTTTTCTCCTTCCCCGCAGCTACATCTGCTGTCAGGCTGCTCACCTCTGTATCCGCCTGCACTTTCAAACGTACACACACACACAGGCCTACAGGAATATCTGGACCACGGCCAATCAGAGAGGTCCCGCCCCTGACTATCTTTGATTGCTTAGACCATGATATGGGAATAATGGCTGTATCCCAATAGAGATTGACAGACCACGTGACTTTCGCGCATTGCATGCCGGTAACTCGTGGCAAAAAATCCAAGTACCGCATCAAATGCAAGCATTTGCAGCACCGCAAAACGTTCATTCTCCGGTTCCAATACCTTCTTGCTTTTTCTTTGCCCCCCAAAAAAGTTATGTACAA